TGAAGCTTTGAAAGGAAATACGCCTGCCATAAGGCTGACAAAAGTGGGATTAAGAATGCCATCAATTGGGCGGGGCCCCTAGCTCAGTGGGTAGGGCACTGGCCAGATGCAAGGAGGCTGGTGGGTTTGAATCTGGCCCAGGACAGGTCAAAACAACAACTGCAACAACAACAAAATAGCAGGGTGTTGTGACGGGTGCCTGTGGTCCCAGCTGCTTGGGAGGCTGAGGCAGAATTGCTTGAGCCCAGGAGTTTGAGGTTGCTGTGAGCTATAACGCCATAGCACTCTGCCCAGGGCGACAGCTTGAGACTGTCTCAAATAAATAAATAAATAAAAAATAAAAATAAAAATAATAAAAAATAGGGCAGTGCCTGTGGCTCAAGGAGTGGGGCACCAGCCCCATATACCAGAGGTGGTGGGTTCAAACCCTGCCCCAGCCAAAAATGGCAAATAAATAAATACATACAAAATAAAATAAGAATGCCATCAATCTATTAAATCCCATTGTTTCAGATGCCCCTAAATTAGCTATCATCATGAGTGGAGTAGCTGGGTAGAGCAAGAAAGCCAGGAAATAAGGCTTAAAAACTGTATCTAGGCAAGAACTGTAGCTATAATTTCTCCTGCGTAGAACTGACTGAAAGCACAAGGATCAGATGCACATTAAATATTTGCATTAATTATATTGCCAGATATACAGCAACTCTAATTTGCATCCATTGGCTTCTGTTATTGCTAAGCACAGTTGTATAAGTGTTTCATTTTTTCTGAAGCAGCATTAGCATAAGTATCAGTGTCCAGCCACTAGTTCTGTGGGTCTGGACGTGCCCAGCTGGTGCAGCTCACAGTGGCACGAGAACTGGCAGCATGAGCAGCTTTGTACTGGTTTCCTCGGCACGACAGTAGCAGTGTGGTTCACAGACATTTCCTGATCACAGAAGAGGTGGCCTGGTTTTGCGAAGACCTTCTCACGCATTCCTGAAAAGCTAATCAACACTTCTAAGCATTCAGTACCCCCCTTGCTTCTTTTCAAAACACCAAGCACATCAAACGTCAGGTCTGTAACTTGCTGTTCTCTCCGGCAGGACGTTCCTCCCCCGGATCCCTCCGCTTCCATTCGGCTCTCTGCGCACGAGCCAGCTCAGAAGCCCTTCCAGATTACTTGTCTACGACAGCACGCTGTCTCCTTTCCCTCACATTATTTCGTATCCTGTTGGTCTAACTTGTCTGCCTCTCTAGAACGCAAAGCTCCTTTAGAAAAGGGAGTGTACTTTATTCACATCTTATCCTAAGCGCCTTGAAAAGCGCCAGGCGCACAGCAGGAGCCTAGAAGACACCGACGGGATGGATCCAGGCTGCACGGATCCTGCTCAACCTAGGCCGGAGGGCACCTCGCAGAGGTGGGGACGCGAACACAGGAGGCAGCCAAGACCCTGCCTGCTGCTTCGGGCTCGGGCCGGACCCACCAGAGGCCTCCACGGCCGGGCCGGGCCTCCCGACGCTTTGTCCCAGCGCGGCCGAGGCGGGGTAAACGGAAAGTGAGGCCGGCGGGGCCGAGGGAGCGCCCCGGCGCTGCAGCTCTCGGCCGCGAACCTGCCGTTCCCGCGCGGCGCCTGTCTCGCTGGCCGGCCCGGGGCGGAAGAGCCGGACCCCGAGCGGACCGCGCAGCGCAGAGCCGCACGCGAGCCGCGAAGCCACTCCCGACGCGAATCTCCCGGGCGACCAGCCAGAGGACGCGCAAGAAAGGGGGGCGGGGTTTGCGGCGAGCGCCCCGTCCGGAAACCGCGCCCTCCGCGGCGCCCCACCCTCCCGGATTGACACACGCAAAACAAGGTTTTAACAGTCGAGCGAAAGCGCGCACTCGAGCGCCAATGAGAGCGGAAGGAGGGGACGGGCGCCTGCGGAACGCTCCGTATGTCCAGCAGTGATTGGCCGGAGCGCGGCCTCTTTCTCTCTCGGTATTGGCTGTCCGTCCTGCTCCTGCCCTCCTAATTGGCTTTTGTTAAGGTACTTCTGATTGGCTCTTCGGGAAGGGGGAGGGCCAGGTTTTGGGAATTGTTATTCATGGATTGGTGGGTTTGGGCTACAGCTCCCAGCCGGGGCCGTCCCGTCTTCTCTGTCCCGTCTCCCGACCCGTACGCTTTCCCCGCAACTCGCGCGCACGAATGGTTAAAAAAGGGCGTGAGGCTCGAGCCCGCCAGCCCGGCCTGCAGCCCCGGCGCGCGCCCTCAGCGAGGACCCGCGCGAGCTGCCCGTGACGGTGCCTGCGCTGTTTGAAACTGTGGAACCCGTTACGATCTTGGGGAAACTACCGTTCCAGCTGGCTCCAGAGCCCGTGCGTGCCAGGGACGAGTGGCGGTCGCGCGGCGGTTCTTGCCTGTCGCCTCCCTGCAGCGTGGAGACAGAACCGGCATTTTCGAAGGACGCCACCTTCAATCGCGGCGCTGGCGCGGGCGGAGGCCGAAACGCAGGGGTCCTGAGACTGAGGAAAACGCGCCAAGTTCCCCTCGGCTGTGGAGCGGGAGAGACCCTAGCGGTTGGGGCGCTCCGCGAGCGGGGGCGCTGCTGGGTGCGCTCCTTGCCGTGCGTGGCGGGCGCAGACGGGCGCCGCTCCGGGCATGTAGTCGGTGCCGGCGCAGGACAGCACCGAGCGGCGGCCGGGCTTCCCGCTCTTGCGGGCGGATGGTCACTCCCCCGCGGGGAGGGCGATCGGACCAGCTTTCCTTTGGGTCGGGGACCCGGCGGGTTCGGGGAAGGGACTCTGGTGTCGCGCCCACTCTCTCTGCGGTCGGACTCGCCGGCGTCACCGCCGCGGACCTCGCTTCGGGCCATGACCAGGTAGGAGGGTTTGGGGGGCGCGGGCCGGCGCCCGGGCTCGGGGACAAGTTCGGCGGGCGCTGGAGGGGGCTGCGGGGCGCCCCAGGGCCGGCCCGGGGGTCCCGCACCCCGCCCCGCCGCCCTGTGCGCCCGGGAGGGCGGGTGCGGGCCGGGCGTCCCCGGCGTCCCCGGGAGTGGCGCGGGCGGGGCGGCCGGGGACGCTTCCACGCACTCGGTCCTGGGTCGCCAATTGCGAAATTTTGCCGCGCATTTTCTTGCACTTACGGTTTTTCTTGAAGTGTTTAGAACGCCACGTGTCTTGCGCCTCTGGCGAAGATTTTGTCCGTGATTATTTTGCATTTTTCTTGGAAAATAGGAATTGTGTCATTTTATAAAGGAAATCACTTAAAACTGCAGGGATGGAGCGGTCGCGCCGTCATTTGTTCAAGACTGTTAGCGTTCGACGGTGTGGTCTGCGAGATTAATAGTTAGGAGAGAAATATTTTTAATGCAGCAAACTCCCAATTATAAAAGAAAGCCAGGGGCAAGAAACGGGCTAGCGCCCGATAGCAGCACCTTGCAGAATGCTGCATTCTTGGTCATGTTCGGTGTTTGATTTCACCTTGAATTTTGAGGGGGTCGGGAGTTTCGCCTTCTTAACTAAAGAGAATCCGCTGTTGGAGCTGCTTGATTATCTTTTCCTCCTATTAAGTCAGGTTAACGCTTGTCAGTTGAGATGCACTTTCTCTCCTTTGGAGACCAATGGGGAACTGATCGGCCCGCCTGCGCCTCCTGAGTTGGGTCTGCTCGAAAGTGGTTTCACCGCTGAGTTGAGTGCTGTGAATTCCTGGGTCCGAGTCAGCCTAGCGAGATGCTTGTTAAGGATGGAATTTGAATTTTGTGTAGTTCGTCTTATTACTCTTTACATTTGAAACTCGTTGCTAAAGTTTTGGGCCCTAAGTAACTTTATGGTAATACTTCAGATGATTTTTCGCCAGATGTCGTAAGGAAAAATAGGACTGATGTGTAAAATAACTTATACAAATAATGCCATATATTTTTTTCATCTGAAAGCTGCACTTTAAATGAGGGTAGCAAGGTGGCAAAAGGCAAAACCAAATCATTGTTTTTTCTAGTCAAAGCAGTATTTTTGAAATTTATAGTTTAACAAAAGTTTGGAAAACTAGTAGAATAATGTGTGTTCTAGTGCATTAAGAATTTGCACAAAGCACAGTAAACAGCTTTTTACACGACTGCCTCGTCTTTGCCTGTATTTTATTATCTTTCACTCAGGTTATTAGGTATAACTGAACACCAGATCTGCGCCTTTTCTTGTACACAAATTATACCTTAAATAAACAGAGACTATTTCATATTGGAAGGGAAAACTCATTAACGTCCAGCACTACTGTGATTTTTCATTAATCCATTTACTGCCTCCTACTTTAGAATTAGAGATAGTAGTTGCTCCATCTATTTCCTGAATGGATTAAGTTATAATGAAAAATTTAGTTTTTATTCCTTAATTATGCCACTTGACTATCGCTCTACTAACTGGGGTACTTTGTGCTTTGTGATGTGGCCCTTAATTCTGTAACAGGCTGGCAAGAGTTCAATGTCTTGTGGTTTTTGTTCTTTAATAAAGTTAAGGTCATTGTGGCAAGCTTCTTCATTAAGCATTGAAAGCTAATGTACCTGTTGCCAGGCATTAGGTGTTCACATGTGAAGTTCTAATTTGTTAGGTTTCTGTGGTAGATTTCTTTCCAGAATTGATGGTTTTCTTACCTACAACTGATAGAAATTAATGCAACCTTTTCTCTGATTAACAGATATAATTGGTGATTACAACTTTCTTCTATAAATTCTTGCCAGCTCCTTGGGATTTGAAGAGAAAATGCCTGGTGTCATACCTAGTGAAAATAATGGACTTTCGAGAGGTAGTCCATCTAAGAAAAACAGACTTTCCTTAAAGTTTTTTCAGAAAAAGGAAACTAAGAGAGCCTTGGATTTCACAGATTCTCAAGAAAATGAAGAAAAAGCTTCTGAATATAGAGGATCTGAAATGTATGTATCTTATTTATGAACTTCTTTTTTGTTCCACATCAGTGAAGCAGCAGTGAACTTGGGTTGATAACCTCTAGTGCAGCAGTTCTCAACCTGTGGGTAGAGACCCCCAGGAACTGTATTAAAGGGTTGCAGCATTAGGAAGGTTGAGAACCACTGCTCTAGTGTGATCTGTTATAACTAGTTATTCCTGTTGTGAAGGCATATAATTGGAAATTTTGTTTAAAGTAAACCTCATGCAAATTCTTTAGTGATTGAAAAGAAATCAGAACAAATGGAATGGTTGTTCCACCAGTACTAGCTCTAGGTTGACGACCTATTTCTGTTTTATCAAATAGGCTGTCTGCAGAGTTACTAAAGTGGATTTGGTCCTATGTGTAAATTTCCTAATATCTACCAATAGTCAAGGAGATAGTATGTGAATGAACCTTTTGGTTATCAGCATTCATGCTTATAAATACTTTAAGATCTTAGAGTAATAATAGTTACTGGTTATAAAATAAAAATACTCGGAAAACTTAGTTTTATTGTTAAAGAAGTAAAAGATGATAAACCTTAACAATTTGTTTTTAAGTGAGGAGTACCCATATGATTCTCTTCATGGACTTTATAGCTGTATAATTCTCTCATAGACTTTCTTTCCTCTTAAAGATTAATAGAATCTTCCTTACTATGGCCTCTCTCAAATAGGATCAGATCATTCATAGGTTTTAATTCAGAGTTAAACTGTTTGATTAAAACATTAAAGTAGGCAAAAAAAAAAAAATCACAATAGCAGTTCCTCAGTTTTTTACTGTGCAAAATGAGATTAACATCATATTAAGGGAATTATTTTGAGGCTTGTTAAGTGGATTAACGTTTTTAAATGCTTTTTAAATTTATATTCTGAGTATATAGCAATTTTTGAACCTGTACAGATTCCTTAAGCAGTCATCTGAATAAGAGCCACATACTTTTCAGATTATATAAAACTTTTGGAAAAAGGCTAAAGGACAGTAATATTTTTGTTTCTTTAAGACACTACTTCATTATACCTTTCTTCTTTCTATGCTTAATAGTGATCAAGTTGTTCCTGCAGCACAATCCTCACCTTTAAACTGCGAGAAGAGAGAAAATTTACTACCATTTGTGGGACTGAATAATCTTGGCAATACTTGTTATCTTAATAGCATACTTCAGGTAAATTGATAATTTTGTTAACTAATAAAACTTCAGTAGGCAAAGAATGATGTAATACTGACTTTATCTTTTGATTGTAAATAAAACAGAATAGGTTAAAAGAATGATAATGATTCTAAGCTATGTGTTACGGATGGGCTAGCAAAGTTGAGTACAACTTGGTTAAGTGGAAGATGCCAGGCCTTTAATTTCTCTACCTGATTCGTGATGCTGTGGTGATATATATCTTACCCCTTGGAACTATACTCTTTTATGTCCTTGACCTTAAAGTCTTAGCAGTGTCTGCCCAGGTGCAATGTTCAGTGCCAATGCAGGAAGACAGTGGGTTTCTACTGATGAGGTAGAGAACAAGTTTTGACACAAAGCTTCATCTCAGAATGTTAGGTAGTGCACATTAAAGGTGCTTTACTGTTTTAATGATTTTTGTTTATTATTGTTTGTTCAGTAAATACTTAGGCAATCTTACTTTCTGTAGGTACTATATTTTTGTCCTGGTTTTAAGTCTGGAGTGAAGCACTTATTTAATATTATTTCAAGGAAGAAAGAAGCTCTAAAAGATGAAGCCAATCAAAAAGATAAGGTAAAATAAATGAAAGAAAATAAAGCAAAAAAGTAAATCAAGGGAAATTCACTTACTTAGAAGTAAAGAAGTAACAGCTACACAAGAGGATTTGGAGGATGACAAAGGTGACTTGTGTGTTGACTATAACTGAAAATTGAATTTATCAGTACTTTATATTATCAGACAGGCAGCTTTCATTCTCGCAAGGATAGCTAACTAAGTTACCCCTTTACAGAGTGTTTTCTCTAGTCTTCTAGTTTGTTTTTGAACTTTTGGTATTTATATGCCATAATTATTTGTTATACACATGTATCACTGGTTATTTACCCATTGTGTTTTCAGATTGACTTTTAAAATTTAAGTAAATATACTGTAATTACAGAAACTTTTGACTCCCATAGTTAGAAAAACCATTGTCATCCACATGGTGACTAAAAAATCCTCTCAGAATTAAAAAAAATTTATTTGTATATCCCCCAAAATTAATGCTATAATGAAATTTAGAAAAGTTAGTATTGTTTAGTGAGACAAAGACAAGAAAGGGGGCGAGGTACTTAATTTGTTCATAAATGAAAGTACTGGTTTGTGTGTTTCTTTCTTGACAGGGAAATTGCAAAGAAGATTCTTTGGCAAGTTATGAACTCATATGTAGTTTACAGTCCTTAATCATTTCAGTTGAACAGCTTCAGGCTAGTTTTCTCTTAAATCCAGAGAAATATACTGAAGAGCTTGCTACTCAGCCAAGGCGACTACTTAATACACTCAGGTATAGCCTATAATACAATTTTAGGATTCTAGTTTAGCTATTTGTTTATATTGTTGGAGAAAAATGCTGTGTGAACAAAAATGAATAAAGGGCAAGAAAAATAGAAACCCCAGGCCCACAGTCCTTTGTTATATCCTAGGAGCTCTAAAACCAGGAATTTTTTTCATAAATTTGGTGGTAAATTCATTGGATCTGAATTTATGTGAGATTTTTTTATATTTATTCATATTTATCTCTAATGTGAATATTCATATATTTTTCTATAAAAATAGTAATGTATTTAGTAATACTGCCTGATATGTTTGTGATATATATTTTACTATTATGCCATACCATCTTTTTGAGTTTGAAAATTTCTGAATTCCTGAACATGTTTGGTCTTAGGATTTCAGATTAAGAATTGTAGGACTATACTAAAAATGTACTATGTGTAAGCACTGAACTCCAGAGATTCTATTTTTGCTTTATGTGCTTAATAAGAGAACTGTTAACTAGATTAAGTTACTTTGTGCTAGTGTCTTAAAATCATTCGGTATATAATAGGCCTTATTTTAAAAATGTTTTTAAATTAAAAAAAATTAAAAATTCATACTAAGGCCAGGCATAGTGGCTCACGCTTATAATCCTAGCACTTAGGAGTCTGGGACCAGCCTGAGCAAGAATAAGGCCCCCGTCCCCTTTAGCTGGGTGTCGTGGCAGGTGCCTATAGGCCTAGCTATTTAGGAGGCTGAGGAAGGAGGATCACTTGAGCCTAGGAGTTTGAGGATGCTGAGTCTGATGCCATGGCACTCACTGAAGACAACAAAACGAGCCCCCCCCCCCAAAAAATAGAAAATTATAATTTTGACGTAGGGTAAGTTAGAATAGTCATTTAATCAAATGATTTAAAATAGAACAGGGTATGATATGATGCTACGATTTTGTTAAGAGCGTTATTGTATGGTGGCCAAAAGCAGGTTTGAGCCCTGGCTTTGCATCCTAACTAGTTCTATGACCTTGGGCAAGTTACTTAATCTCTCTGTATAATTCCCGTATCAGTCGATACTAGTGATAATTATACTTCACAGAGTTGTTGTGAAGATTATATATACAGATAAAAAGCATTTTGAAGGCCAGGTGTGGTGGCTCACGCCTGTAATCCTAGCACTCTGGGAGGCCTAGGTGGGTGGATTGCCTGAGCTCATAGGTTGGAGACCCTTCTCTAAAAATAGCCAAGCATTGTGTGGGGTGCCTGTAGTCCCAGTTACTTGGGAGGCGGAGGCAAGAGACTTACTGAAGCCCAAGAGTTTGAGGTTGTTGTGAGCTGTGACGCCATGGCATTCTACTAAGGGTGACAAAGTGAGACTCTTAAAAAAATCATTTTGAGTATGACCAGTACATGGGAAACACTACATATTATTATCTTAAGAAGAGGCTTAGACTATTGTGATAGTAAAATACGGTAAAATTTATTTTTACTTTAGATACAGGTAATAAATTTCAAAGTAGTAGCTTAATAAATATCTCCTGATTTTAAAAATGAAGTAATTTATGATATTCCTGGAAATGAATTCGTTTCTGTGTAGAAAGGTTTTCTTTTATATATTATGTCTTCAAAACTAGAATAGATGAAATGGAAATTTTTATTTATAGGGAACTCAACCCTATGTATGAAGGATATCTACAGCATGATGCACAGGAAGTACTACAGTGTATTTTGGGAAACATTCAAGAAACATGCCAGCTCCTAAAAAAAGAGGAAGTAAAAAATGTGGCAGAATTATCTACTAAGGTGGAAGAAAACCCTAATCAGAAAGAGGAAATGAGTGGTTTTAATGGCATGGAGACTGACAATGTTAGGCATTTTGAAGAGTGTAAAGAAAAACTCCCCAAAGGAAATGGGAAAAGAAAAAGTGACATTGAATTTGGTAACATGAAGAAAAAAGTTAAAGTATCCAAGGAACAACAGTCATTGGAAGAGAACCACAGACAAACCAGATCAAAAAGAAAAGCTACAGATGATACATTAGAGGTTCCTCCTAAAATAATCCCCAAGTACATATCTGAAAATGAGAGTACAAGACTCTCCCAAAAGAAATCAAGAGTTAAGATAAATTGGTTCAAGTCAGCAACTAAGCAACCCAGCATTCTGTCTAAATTCTGTAGCCTGGGAAAAATAACAACAAGCCAAGGATCGAAAGGACAATCTAAAGAAGATGAGTATGATCTTGAAGAGGACTTGGGGAAGTGTGAAAGTACCAACACAGTTAATGGTTGTGGACTTGAATCTACAGGAAATGATGTTAAACCTGTAGATGTTAATGAAGCTAAGCCCATTAACAAAGGTCAGTAGAATTCTTAGACTTTGGTAGGTAGGAGCTACAGAATTAGAACATGTGCAGTGTAATCTTTATGGCTAACATTTTTCAGAGAAGGAAATGTAACATTGAATGTGAACTGTGTGGTGGTGTAAGTGCTGCACTTAGAGGTCTGTGTCTTGTATTTTACACCGTGTGCCTGTGATGTCAGTACAGTGGATCTGACGTGTGTAATGTGATGTATTACATAGTTGTAATGTTACGGTCATGTTAATTGTTTATAAACTAGGGAAGTTCAGTACATTTTAATGGGAAGGCTATATTTTTCCTTTTTATCTATGTAGTAGTTGACAAACTCATGAAAGCAGTTACATTTAGTGAAATTTTTGGAGAACCAAGTGTAGTATGCATTGCTTAATGGTGACCTTCTGAGGAATGTGTCATCAGGCAGTTTTTCTGTGTGAACACGGGAGTATCCTTATAGGCTTCTACACACACTTAGGCTGTGTGTATGGCCTGTGCTCCTAGGCTACAAGTTCTGTCCAGCACATTTATTGTACTGAATACTGTAGGCAGTTATGCTTAGATACACAAATGCGGTTATGTCACATCTAAACATAAGGTGTGTAACAGGTACAGTAAAAATAGGGGATTATAGTCTTTATGGGACCACCATTGAATATGGAGTCGGCCATTAACTGAAATGTTATTCAGTGTGTGACTAGTTAGGTCCTGTGTGAATTAGGTATTTACCTAGTTTTATCCAGGTCTACCTTGGAAAATAAACAGTATTGATGTAGTTAATGGTTTTGCAAAAAATGCCATATGTATTCTGGGATTATTTTATTAGGGAAGTGTGTTTGAGAAAGGATAACTGACTTTTGTTTTAGAGACAGGAGTAACTCCTGTTCAAAACTATCTCTGCAGGGAATTTACATTTCATGAATGAGTTATATACTTCTTCATGCTAATAAGCTGAGATACAAAAATGGAACTTTTATTCAGGACATGCTTTATTTAAATGGAAAATTGGTTATCTGGGTTGTACTGAAAACCTAATCTGTATAGACTTCCTGTTTTGTTTTAGGTACAGAGCAAATTGGTTTTGAGCTAGTGGAGAAATTATTTCAAGGTCAGCTGGTGTTAAGAACTCGTTGCTTGGAATGTGAAAGCTTAACCGAAAGAAGAGAAGATTTTCAAGACATCAGTGTGCCAGTGCAAGAAGATGAGCTTTCCAAAGTAGAGGAGAGCTCTGAAAGTAAGCAAAGTTGGAATCTTGTTTGGACTGTTGAATAATAGTTTTTTTTTCAACAATACAGTCTGGGAGTAGCATGAATAAATAGAACAAAGCTGGCTGTTGGTGTCTAATATAACCTTTCTGTTTTTATCTATCTTCACTTGTAAATGGTTAGCATTTGGAAAAATGTAGCATCTTTTTGATAGAGTTAGAATAGAAAAATGAAATGCTTTAATAAGTGAACTTCTAGGGACCTGAATCTTTAAGAGAGGGCAAACCATCCATAAAAAGTATGGAAATACCATGGGAGATGTGAGTCTGGTTTACCTGTCACATACTGAAAACGGGCTATTCAATGTAGTCTGTCTTAAACTGTGGCACAAAGACTAGGCATGTTTTGTTTTTGCTGTCTCTGTGTCATATTTTTTGGCTGACCAGATGTAAATATTTGAACAGTTCAAGTACAGTGTTGAGAATGAGCTTATGGAAAATAGTTCTTGAAAGTAAAAAAGAAGTCTGTTACTTGCAATTGGTTTAGTCAATTGAAATTAAATGCTAAGAACATGAAACTTTATGATTTATTTTTTTTTGAATGGCTGAGAAAGATTTGTGAATGAAAGGATTTTCTTTTATAGTTTCTCCAGAGCCTAAGACAGAAATGAAGACCCTGAGATGGGCAATTTCACAATTTGCTTCAGTAGAAAGGATTGTAGGAGAAGATAAATATTTCTGTGAAAATTGCCATCATTATACTGAAGCTGAACGAAGTCTTTTGTTTGACAAAATGCCTGAAGTTATAACTATTCATTTGAAGTGCTTTGCTGCTAGTGGCTTGGAGTGAGTATTGTAAATAAAAGCTATATGAAGAAAATGAGCTGTTATAGAAGACAAATTCTATTCAAAATACTGTAATAGTAGGAATATGAAGTCGTGAAATGAAATTATTTGCAAAGATAGCCTAAAAATGAAAGTTAAATCTTTTTGCTATGAATATATATTCTATTAAGTATGGAATTCTTTATACATCTTATTCCTTCTTAGATGGTAAGATCTAAGAATTCAATTTCAGGAGAACTGATGAAAGTAGGGAACAAATTTTATACATATCAAGATTTGTTCTTTGAAGGGTGAAAAAGGCAAAATTAAAAATCTTTTTGGTTGTAAGGTAAGCCTGGAAGTCCAACTAACCTTTGAATAGTTTGAGAAAAACAGTAATGACGTTTTGAGTAATCCATGGTGTTTTTTGGAAGCGTATGTCATTGTAGATTTTACTGTGTACCTGAATGACTTGCTTGATGTTACCCTGAGGGCTTCCCTGGAGCTCTCATGGATGGTATTGTATCAGAAGATGACATCTAGTCCTTTATTTAGTGGAACTTCTCTGTTTATTTTCCTAAATCTTGGTAGAGAAAGACTTCATGTTAAAACGACTAAAATGTAAAGGATTTGGATAGGTTCAGTCTATTTTAAATCCCATTTTTCTCCTACTGCACAAAATTAAGAAAATTAAGGGGGAAAATACTATATATCCTCTATAGAAACACCTCAATATTAGCAATTATTACACTATTTTTTGTATACATTATAAATATTAAAGCTGGAGTCTTGCCAGGTGCTGTGGGTCATGACTGTGATCCTAGCACTTTGGGAGGCTGAGGTGGGACGATTGCTCATGGCCAAAAGTTCAAGACCAGCCTGAGCAACAAAGCTAGATGCCGTTATCTATAAAATAATTTTAAAAATTAGCTGGGTGTGGTGGTATATACCTATAGTCCCAGCTACTTGGAGGGCTGAGACAGGAAGATCACTTAAGCCCAGGAGTTGGAGGTTGTATGAGATATTTTGACACCACTACATTCTAAACCAGGAGATAAAGTGAGACCTTGTCCTCAAAACACACACAGTTGAGATCTTATTTTTATTTTTTTTGTTTATTCATGTGAATATGAATATTAAGAGTCAATTCAGATTGTTACTTGGTTTCACAATGGGTGTAAGATTTTGAATTTGAAATGGCAATTGCAGGAAACTTTTTTTTTTTCCTTCTAAAGGTTTGATTGTTACGGTGGTGGACTTTCCAAGATCAACACTCCTTTGTTGACGCCTCTTAAATTGTCACTAGAGGAATGGAGCACAAAGCCGACCAACGACAGCTATGGATTATTTGCGGTTGTGATGCATAGCGGCATTACAATTAGTAGTGGGCACTATACTGCTTCTGTTAAAGTCACTGACCTTAGCAGTTTAGAACTAGATAAGGGAAATTTTGTGGTTGACCAAATGTGTGAAATAGGTAAGCCAGAACCATTGAATGAGGAGGAAGCAAGGGGTGTGGTTGAAAATTATGATGATGAAGAAGTGTCGATTAGAGTTGGTGGAAGTACACAGCCAAGTAAAGTTTTGAACAAAAAAAATGTAGAAGCTATTGGACTTCTTGGAGGACAAAAGAGCAAAGCAGACTATGAACTGTACAGCAAAGCATCTAATCCTGATAAGGCTGCCAGCGCAGCACTGGCTGAAAGTCGAAATTCTGAGACTAACAGTACTAATGGGACCCACGAATCTGATAGCAGTAAGGGATCCAGTGACCAAACAGGCATTAATATTAGTGGATTTGAGAACAAAATTTCCTATATAGTGCAAAGCTTGAAGGAGTATGAGGGGAAGTGGTTGCTTTTTGATGATTCTGAAGTGAAAGTTACGGAAGAGAAGGACTTTCTGAATTCTCTTTCCCCTTCTACATCTCCTACGTCTACTCCTTACTTGCTATTTTATAAGAAATTACAGAGTTGAGTGTATTTTGTGTATATATTAAACAGACCTGCACAAACATTGGTAAACTTGATTACATCAAAGTTTTTAGCTCATCTTTTGAAGCTACTGGGTATTATTGGTCTCTCTAGGTTTTTATATAAATAGTGAAATTTGAATTACTGAAAACCATGTTAATTTTTAGAATTCCTTAGTAGAGACTAGTGATGCATTAGCTTCTGGGAACAAACTTGTATAGGTTCTTAATTGAATTATCCAAAATGTAAGCATTTAAACACTTTTGGATTCACACCAGTCTTTTGTGTTTGCTTTTTAAAATAAAGTGCTTGTATTTGTATTCTCCATATTTTGGAGTAATTATCTACATGATGTTTATAGGTCCTGTGGTTTTTCACCTACAAAGCAGAATCTCATTCGGCACATTTAATTTTATAAGAGTCGGGAATCCAAATCTTGGATGGGCTGTGTCAGAGGCACAGAGTCTGGAATGTGTGTATTCATAGTGGTGCACGTTTTGTGCCTTGAGTCACTTTGAAGTGTCTCAGAAAACTTGGACAGTCCTCACCTGTCTTCACAAGAATTTTATATGTATTTATGAAGATGATTCTGTACTCTAGTAGATCTCTTTGGGCATGGACTAATTTGTATCTCTTCATACTTGATATTCTGCACGATCTGTATATAGTGCCTCAGGCTTAGAGGTGTGACCTTAAACTTTAACTTTTTTTAAAAAACCAGGAGGTCAATAAAATTTAAACTGCTTAACAGCTATGTATACAAATGTTTGACTTTTTTACTTGCATATTTTTATCATAAATAAGAGTTCTCTTAAGCAGAATAGGTACATATATATAGAAAGAATAAACATGCATAATTACCTTTAATATACTCAATACTTTGACCATAGAGGTGGAAAATTTTCAAAGGTGAATTTGTACTTAGTCCATCTAAGTTGTCATATTTACAAGGTTTTAATAAAAATTGTTGCCTCTAGTCCTTTAAAGTAGTCATATAAGTTAATGGAATCTACAACTAGAAAACTTAAGATGATGCTTTGGGCACACAAAAACTTGGTTAAAATTTCATTTTAAATACAGCATACTAAACTGGTAAATGATATCTTGTGACGTGTTAAAGGAAGTTATAACTCTTGTTTATACTGAAGAGTTTTTCTTAATGATTCCAAGGAATATATAAATACTATTGGAATGGCACTGTTAGACATTCCATTTCAACAAATAAGAGTACCTTGTCAGCTAATAAATTAGGTGTCTTAGTCCTTCCACAAGATGGTGTGATGGTACTGATGGTTATTCTCCCTTTCAGAATCACTTGTGGAACTTTTAACAAAGAAACAGCCCCTAAATACCACCCATACTAATTTTCTGATGGAGCAGGTCTTTGAGAGACATCAGGCCTGTAACACTCAAAAGACTGCCAGTGACCCAATACAGGTTCCTCATGTGAGAACATGTGCATTTTAAGAAAAATGAAGTATATAAGAATTCAGGACGTATTTAGTATCATATCTGTGTTTTAAGAAGCTTCTGTTTATGGGGCAGTGCCTGTGGCTCAGTGCGTAGGGCGCCAGCCCCATATACCAAGGGTGGCAGATTCATAGCCGGCCCTGGCCAAACTAACAAAAAATAGCTGGGTGTTGTGGCAGGCGCCTGTAGTCCCAGCTGCCTGGGAGGCTGAGGCAAGAGAATCGCTTAAGCCCAAGA